TGTATAGGAAGGTACGTTGAACTCTAGAATAATGTGTAACAACAGAAGTCAATATCTGTTATGGCTCTGTTTGTTAACCTTTCAAACAAACAGGTGTTGCAATTCAACTGAATCTAATGTTTCCAATAATAATATCTTTTTTAACCTCAAAAGGTCTGTGCTTCCAAACACGCGCTCAAGTAAAAACTAGGACGCTGTTAACTGAAGGCCCAAATTATCTACAACACTGCTACAATACACAGACCTCCACCGTAAACTTCTCTAAACAGGACCGCTGATAATCTGGTTTAGCCGAAGTTTCACGGTCTTGTCTGGGGTTTTTCACCGACCTGGACGTATGTTTTGACTGGTCCATCTGCTCCAGTCAACACTAAAGCCTGCGTGTTCTGCTTACACTGTGTGTGCTTGGTGTGGTGTGTTGGTCGACATGACTGCCTGGATTCAAGGCGCAAAGCAATCAGAGCAGTTGGTGAATGATGTGACCCATGTCCTTACACACATGAGCGTGAGCGAGTATTTCCGTGTTACATGCGGCGGTATTTTTAGCATGGAGCCGCTTGCCTTCCATTGTTCCTTGTGTGTGTGTTTGTAGGCAACGTACTGCTCGGATGCAGACGGGGTGAGTCTCCCGGTGACATGATTGTCATCAGGGAAAAGCACAGGTGGTCAGCCACACACAACCACACACACAACACAACACACACCACACCACGCACACACCACACACCACGTACTAATGAATAAAATGTGTTTTATTTATAAACCATTTCAATGCCTTTAATCTCTGTCACACTGCAGTTTCCAGAGCAAAACGTCACCATGACGATAAAAAATGTTAAACTCACTCCGTTGCCGCCGAACACCAGCCATACCTCAATTCCAAGCTTTATTGTACAACAGCAGGTGTCCACATTACCTCATTCCATGATATACACTAAGAAACGTACATATGAATTATTATTTCCTTTCCTGAAATAGCTCCTCCTCAGCGTTACCCCCTGGACCTTTTTTAGTCTCCATTTGAAGGCTTGATGGGGTGGTCCTTCAGCCCTAAGGGCATCGGGCCTTATCCCATCTTAAATCTTCGGGACCCATTAGAACAGGCCAGCAGCATAATTGTCCAATGAAGGTAGAACCTCTGCTTCCCTCACAGAAGGTTTGTGGTTTGGTGAAGAGTCGACTTGTGCGATGCCACCAAACCAGTCGCCTGAACCCATCCACCTTATACCAAACAGCACGTGGTAACAGTGATGGGCCCCGTTGACTTCCAAGACTGGCAATCACATATTGGAACATTAGTCCTCCTGTAAACCTGGATATGTGCAGAAACCCTGCCTGCTCCTCTGCTGTTCATGTGATGGCATTTAGTATGAAATAGGGTATTTATTTTACCATTCAGTACTTCTGTCCCCATGATAGCGCTCCACTAAAAGTGGGAGATAATCATCGGGTTTTGATGAGTTCGTAAATCCAACAGACAGCAAACAGTCGATACAGGTGAAATAATACTCATTACATTGAAAAATGCATTATTTGTGATGAAAATAGTGGATTTGGTAGAACCTGAATACGTGCTCCAATAGCCAGGAAAAAGGTGAAGACCTCATCCTGAAAAGGAACTGCCCAGGAAATCTCTTCAATGCGTTACTTTTCAGACATCTCTCCTCTTCACGTCTTCTGTCTGGACTTTTCATGGTTTGATTGGACCATTTTAAATCTTCTTTCAGCCGCTGTAGTCCTAAGTAAACACACACGTTTTAACTATTTCTAAATGTGAACTGCTTATTTTGTACTCTTCTGAATGAATCATTTGGCATTTTTCTAATTTCTTCAGCAATAATGAAATGTGGCCTACATTTAGAACCCATCTACAGATGAGAAACACTTAGCAACTATTCAGTGGTTTACCAAAACAAAAAAACCTGTCTTTAAAAGAAACATCAATCACAACTATC